AATGAATAACGAAAAAAAATCAATTTTATACGTATAGCGATAATAACTACAATTGTACTGTATTTTCGAGGCATGTCCGAATTAAGCTCAATCTAAAGTTCAAATTACATCCCTACGCGTTATTTTGAAAAAGCACGATACGTTACCCAGATTGCTGATTCAGAATTGGACTGCCCCAGATTGGAATTTATAAATGATTTTGGCAGAATTAGGATTTGGGGTTAAAATTAGGGTTTAGAATAAAAAAAACATTAAATTTTACAAAATTCTCATCCGGAACTGTCCCGAATCTGAATCGGGACGATTCTCATCCAGGGATAAACATATGGGCTAGGTGCTGCAAAAAGAGAGGAAATTGACAAAATTTTTGATTAATTTTATGAAACATATATTACAAATAAAAATAAATCATCCTGTAACACTCTACGAATTAACATTTATGTGCTTTGTTATATTGCCAAACCAAATATCTCAGACAAATTGAACGGGTAATTTCTTTTGTTACTTTCTTTGGTGGTAAAATGTGATTCTACACAAACTAGCACATTCTGATTGGACGAAATTGACAATCTTTAGTAATATTATATGCTTTTTTCAAATTTTGAACGAAAATATCTTAGTAACTACTTATCTAAAATCGATAAAAATTTTACTAATTCATATAATAAAATGAAAAATCCATAGGTTTGGATGGATACCATCGTTCAAAGTTTGAAAAACCTAACCGGGCATATTGTACAGCAGAGGTCCGTTGCAAGCTAGAAAAAATTCCGTTTACATTTATATGATATGCAATTTGGACTTTTTAAAAAATTACTTATACTAGTGAAATTTATGCTATTTTAACCTGAGTATTTTACAGTACGTACCATAAATTGATCACGTGTTGTAACCACGGTTATTGGCTGGAAGTTTTTTTACTTTGTTTTGCATAGTTGAAGATATACAATTCTCTTTATTGTTATTTTATTTTATTCGAAATCTATCAGTATCAAACATTTGATCGCATATAATCTGCCTCCTTTGTCGTTTAAAGCTACCGACACAACAACAAAAACCTAAAATTTCCAGCGTACAAATCATTGGTATGAAAATATTTAATAAATATATATAATATTGCAATATTAATATTAATCTAATAACAACTTCGTTATTCTTGTGGAAGATAGGATTACACTTATAGAAATGCCCCTTTAAAAACCACAGATTTGTAAAGCAGATGTCACCAAAAATCTTTAACTTTTTAAGAGCTTAAGGAATGAGTTTATCAAACAAGAATATTCGTTCTTTTGAGCTCTCTGTTTATGATAACACTAGGTCTATTAAAGTGGATACTGTCTGATAGTTAGATCAAAAAAAAAGTACCAAAATTAGTACGAATTCATATAAATTTACATATGAAATCAACCGAAACTGTATATAGCTCGCATTCCTTTCTATGTTGCATTGGGGTATTTGTTCAATTATGTTTGATAAACCTACATGCAGTATCAGACCCATTCATTTCATCGACAATCAATTCACCAACAGTACGATTCACCGTCAGTACGATTCGCGACAGTCATTTCACCTACAAAGTAATTCTGGTCATTGCCGGTAGGGTTAGATTAGAATTCGAGTAATTTATAAAAAAAACTTATCGGTGAAACGTCAGTAAATCGTATTGTCGGTGAAATGAACTTATTGGTGAATTGATTGTCTACTGTCAGTGAATTGATTTTCGGTGAAATGAACTGGATCCTAAAAATTAATTATTAAGAATTTTTTGAATCCAGTTATCAGGATAGTGATCGGGATTATTTATCACTTTTTATATATGCTTTAATAGTAAAAGATAACTTGCATGTTTTTAGATGTCTAGAGCGAATCTCTTTACTTTTTCGTTTAATTTAGCATAATTCTATTCTTAAACACGTTTATAACAAAGTTATATTAAAAAATTTTATGTTCTAGTATTAAATATTTTACCTATAATGAAGACATCTTTTTTTGAATCGTTCACAATATGAAGCGAAATTTTTGTAAAGAGTCAACTTGAAATTTAAATATTAACGTTAAAAAAATTTTAAAAAATTTCTAACTTTGTTATAAACATGTTTAATTAAAAATAGAAATATGTTAAAATAATTGAGATTCGATTTAGACATCTAAAAACATGTAAGTCATCTTTAACTATTAAAGCATATATAAAAGTGATAAATAATCCCGATCACTATTCTGATCACAAATTCAAAAAAATCCTTAATAATTAATTTTTATATGGTACCGCATATAGTTTTGTCAAACATAGTTGACTATGTTGCATGTATCTAGATTGTAATTGGTCATTTAATAAGTTACGTTAATTATATAGGCTGCCGTCAATAGAGAATGACATTTGGAAAAAAATCAATACAAAAATTTTTATAGCTCATATCTCAATAGAATTTTGAAGTTATTTTAATAACTTAATAGTTTAAAGAAAACTAAAATCTAAGCTTTTTTTTTACTTTTAATTATCAATCATCAAAATAGATTTAAAATTCAAGATATAAGAGGATCTTGAACAATGCAAGTAGAGGTTCTACTATTGCATCGTTACTTTTTGCAATTTTGATTGGTTAAACTAAATTTCAGCAAATCAGAATTGTAGTTTTTGAATAAAAATCTTATATCAAAGGTATTCTCAATTACTTATTTTAATGAGCTTAACAAAAAATCGGGCTTGTCTAGTCAAACTAACCAATCATATTCTTTGTTAATGCTCTAAATCTAATTTAATCTCTAAATATGGGTCTTTTTCTTGAAAATGACCTTAAGGGACTACGTAGATTTTATCAATAAAAAGTAAAATTTCTAGTCATCCAGTAATCAAATTTAAATAAATTTTTTATTTATTTCGTAAAGCTTATGGTTTACAAAATAGAAAAAAGTTTATTTGAATTGGATTACTGGATGTCTAAAAATTTTAATTTTTATTTATAAAATTTATACATAACCTTATAAGGTTATATATTATTCAAGATCTTGATTATAAATACAAATATTTAAAGAATTATCTTTTTGTAATATCTGTATATATATCATATAAAATTTAGGTAGTAATATCAATATGTTACTTATATATTACTGTTATATGTTATTTGTTTGTAGTCTTAGTTTTGATATAAGTTATAAAAGTTATTGAATTAAAATATTAATTTGCCTGTTTTTTATAACAACCTATATAATATCAAAATTTATGCTGACTATTTTTTTAAAAAATTAAAAAACAATTATTTAATATTTTAAATTATTACAATTTTTATTTTATTATAATAATATCTTGATATGTTACTAAAATAACGATCTTTTACTTCTAGAAAAAAAAATTTAATATAGAACTTTACATATAAATTTAAAAAATTTATAATATCTTCAAAAATTCTTTTTAATATATTATATTTTTTTGAGATTTTGTTTATTTTTTTGCATTTATTTATATTCAATCATTGCAGATAATTTAATTAATAAAATCAAGTATATAAAAAATAAAGATACCTATTTTTCAAAACATAAATTTACTTTATTTTTACAGTAGACAGTAAATTAGATATAAAAAGAAATAAAAATTTATTTACAATTTCTAATACGTATAAACAAAAAACTGTTAGTTTTTAAATTAATCACATAATATCTTAATAGCTATGATGTAAAAATCATTATTTATTTCTAAATATTTAAATAAACCATATGAAAATGCAACCTGGATATCTATAAGTTTGACTTTATAATACAGTTATTATAAAAAAATCCGGAAAATGGATAACAGGTCATATCTCCAAGCAACATGCTATGACTAATTGGCACAATATCCAATGAATCATGCTCGTTAAGATAGTAAGCTCTTTCTAAAGTTTTTTAGAAAATTTAAGATCTCTAGATATTTTGATTTTTGCTAGAAATTTTGTCTTCAAGGGTTTAGCATTCACTAGGGTTTCGTATTTTTCCAAAGTTTTGCCACTTGTCTTTCGCTGGCTTTAGGTTTCATCTTTAGTCATTTGCATAAAACAGTTCCACCTAACAACTGCATTTTATTCATTAACATGGTCAATCTTTTTCAAATCTTAGATTTAACCTTTGTCAAGTTTTGGCTTTCTCCAGGAGTTTCAACTTTATCAAGGATTTCAACAGAATTTTGCTGTTTCACCAGGGTTTTGCCGTTATGCCAGGTTTTGCCATTTCGCCAGAGTTTTGACGTTTTTTCAGAGTTTCGCTGTTTTGCCAGAGTTTCTCTGGTTTCGTCTTTCGGCAGGTTTAGTTTCGCCTTTCGCCATTTGCCAAAAATAGTTTCGCCTAGCAACAGTAGCACAAACAAACCGTGTAACTGGTACGAACGTATATTGTATGTAATCTCGCATGTATTTCTGCATGTATCGTATTATGATTTTTGACTAAAACGCACGGGACGGCAATTAAAAACAAATTGTCAAAGTTTGTATAGCGCATGATAATAAACTATAATATTTTTTAAGCTCAGTTTGAGTTCAGAAATTAATCATTTATATTAAGCTTAAAATAAAAGGTATGTATAACAGAATTATTCGAAAAAGCAACGTTTGTTATGTGTTAAACCTCAAATGGAAATTAGAGCATTAAAAAAATTGTTTACGTAGCAATTATAGCTTAATTGTTGAATGTGAAAATAAGATTGCTTTGCCGAAATTGTACGTATAAATTCAAAAATAAATTAAATGCATGCATGTTTATGTCAAATTATGGACAACCAATGACATCTCAGGATATCGAGAGGCATATAAACAATGTGTTTATTAATAAAGAATTGATAAAAAATATATATAATAAACGGTTTAACGTCGTACACATCGGATATAATTTACTTTGTAATCAAGAAAGAAAAACATATAAATTGCCGCACTGTCTCTTCACAGAGCCACTGTTTATTTTGTCCATTTATCACGTTCTATATTTGAAAAGTCTCCAACCATACACTCATTACCGTTGTTTCAACCAATTTAACCATGGTATTATCACGTAAACTTCTTCTTACTCTTATATTCCTCGCTATGGCGTTTGTAGTGATGGCATCAGCGACGCCATCCCTTGAGGAGGCTTTTCAAAAGAGACAACTCTTGCCACTGGCTGGTAATCAAAAAAGGGACGATGAGCCTGCACCTGCTAGGTAAGATTTTCTTAAAAACCTAAAAGTGAATATTTAACTGATACGGCATATTTGAATTGCAGTGAAGCAATCTGCACCACTACTTCCACTACCACTACCACTACCACTTCTACTTGTACCACGTCTACTACTACTTCTTGCGAAGTTCACACCACTACAACGTAAGTTATACTTTTAAAATATTAAGAGGAATTTTATGCCATATACTAAATTATATTCATGCATATTAACAGATCAAGTTGCGTTAAAACCGAACCCTGTACCACCACCACCCCCACTCTACCTACTCATACTTGCAATGAAGGTTCCCCAGATTTGGAAAATACAGTTACTGCAACTGATGATGATGATAGCCAACCAACTGTTGTTGGGGATTCTAAAAGCCCGCAAAAATCTGTTGTCGTCGTTTCTGGTGGAAACCCAAGCAGGGCTGACGATATGACAAGCGACTCGGTTGGTTACTATCAAAGAAATTCAGCTTTAATCATAAGCACTCTTATATTGGCCTCTATGATTTCCATGATGGCTTTATAAAGTTCAACTTATAATCATGTTATAATTTATATTATAATTTACATTTTAGAACTTAGAATTAATGTGAAATCTTTATTTATCTAATGTTATTTTTTTTGTCATCTGTTCTGTGAATTTAGAACACTTTTATGATTACTTGGACCTATGATCTTTAAATAAATGACAAAATTTAAAGGTTGAAAAAATGAACATTAATTTTATATTGACTAAAAAAAAAAGAACTTTTGTCATAATATTAATCATTTAATTACCTTTGATGTACGTACGTACACGAATATACTAATTGTCTCTAACTGTTAAGAAGAGAATATTGCATCAATTATACTAAAGTAATTATCACAAAGCTTGGCTCAAACAATTTGTATCATCGATAATCATAAACCTGTAAAAAATGGCTAAAAGATAAATGTTTAGGTTGTTAGTCTTGGCATTTTATATTTTTATATTAATTAATATAAATATATATAAATATCGGTATGTTTAATGTGTATTCCACTTCTATCTTAACTAGTAGTACAAATACAGAAATAGTTTCTTGTTTATTTTTGTCCCAACCTTTTTTTAATTAGTATGAACAGATCTGTCAATAACCAACGCGTGTGTAATACTGTGTTAACATCAGCCAATAAATATTATTTTTGAACCAATTAGAATAAATTTATCCCGACCTATTCGATATTTATGTAATTGAATCTACGTAATAATTCATAGTAACCATAAAAACATTTTTTTTTACCAAAAAAAAAGATGTTTGCCAAGTGAAATGTGACAACTTGTAAGAATGTAGATTTACACTGTACCGGGCTTAAGATTGTAAGAATTTGGTATGATGTAATTCAAGTGTTTCGATTCTATTTGTTAAAAGCTATTCAGTCTATTCAGATTAGATTCTTTTGTGCTGTGTGTCCGGTTGATAATTTAAGTAAATTCGGATTAGTAATTCGAATTCGACGTCATCATCTAGTCAAGATAGTTCTATCTCGGCATTAAACATACTTTTAACTATTTAATTTATGCATGTACAGAAACTAAAATAAAATTACCAGGAACGGAGTGATGAAATCACGAAGTATATAGCTTATAAGGTACAATAAGTGGTATCCGTCTGCAAAATCTTAAGTTTGATTGGTCCGCGTGACTTATTCATCAAATTTTTGTTATTTTTCACACATGAATTCTTCACGCATATAGATCAACGGATATGCACGTATGTAATCACAAAGCATAATTTAAGCGATGTCATAGTTGCGATAACTAACGATAGTAAAAAAAGGAATTTTAGACGCAAAAATTAGTAACCCGGTGCAAATTAATTTGCGTATTTACTTGATATTTGGAATGGTTTGGTTTGATTTTTCATTGGGTTGATTAAATGATAATCACTGATCGTCAAAGACAATAGCAAAATAATTTTCGGATAACATGATAACCAGATAATTTATTACATGATGCCTTGTTTGATTAGCTAATGCGAGTCAATTACCTATAGTATCTATCAAATGCTTCACAATATATTAATGAGATGCTAGATCAGTTCTCATTTGTATGTTACTTGGACTATTTGTTAACTACTATATTTGCTTTCGTTTCCGGTTTCTAACGTGACTGCATCACACATCTACCTTATTATAATTATACGCACTGCAAGCACAAATCAGGCATTAAACTCACTATTATTTTCCTAATTCCATAATTTTATTATTGTTTGCAGCTTTTTTTTTAATAAAAAAATCTTTAGAACTTTATTTGAAAGGATTTTGAATTTTGATATTATTAGGAAATGGAAAAAATAAACATGAACTTCAAAGAAAGTTCAAATTGTGATAAATAAATATAAATAGTTTAAAAAAGTCAGATGGTTATAACTATTTTAGAATTCTAAAGTTATTGTATAAGAAACAAAGAATTATTTTTGTATAATTTTATATAAATTTTTGAATAAAACTTATTTCTTTGGTCCAGTTTGTATAACCATAAACTTGAAATTTATTATAACAGAGACAGTGCCTAATTCAAAGTGAATTACTTACCTGTGATCAATTACAAATCAATTGTGATGAATATAACCCCTCATCAGTGTTAATATGTATAACATTAATAGTTTCTGCTGTTGAAATTCTCTAGTTTTATCTCTATATTACATAAATTAATTTAAATAATTTAATTTAAATAAATTCATTCATGGTTTATAACAAATTACAAGACATTTAATAGATCAATTAATTTTCTTATTATTACAAATTGAATTATTAATATATATATAAAATATTATCATAATAATAATTAAAAAATCAGAATAGTAGAATTTAAAAAAAGTTAAAAAATACAAATTTAATTAATTAATTTAATATATAATATAAGTAAACTATTTTATAAATTTTTACTAATTTTGTAAATGAAATAAATAAATAATTAATTAGCTTTAAAAATTTTTAAAGTTGAGCAATTTATTTGTAAGTTTATCTTTAAGAAAAATTAGCAATTCTTTTAATAATGTTGAAATAATTATATTTGCAAACTGAAATGTTTTTAAAATTTCTAATTCATTTTTCATTATTAATATTTAATATTTTATATTATATTAATAATTTTTTATAAATATTAGATACAGTTAGTTTATCAATTTGCTAATTGGATAAAAAATTTAGAAGTGCTTTTAGCAAATTCAAATATAATTTATAACATATTTTTATAACTAATATTTTATTATACTCAGTATTATTAATAAAGAGGTTTTTTTATAAATATCTCAGATATAATAATACAAAAACTATAAATATTAGCTACTGTTATATATAGTTGTTTATTTAACCTCTCTGATATAATATAAGATAAAATGTTATAAATTTCATCTTTCAAATTAAAATTATTTTTTTTTCTAAATAATCCTAGATTAGCAATATAAAATATTAAATTACTATTAACATAATAATTTTACAATATATTACTATTATAAAAATTTTTATAAATATATTCTGTTTTGTGTATATTTATTAAATTTTAGAAATATTGCCAAACTGTTTTAATTTACTTTTTTAATTAAGATCTTTAAAATTTTAAAATAAGATATTATAAAGACTTTCTCTATTTGCATATTCAAATACTTGTTATAAGTTGTATCTTGGGTTAGTTTATATACTTCAAACTTATTACTAACTAATCTAAATTTTGTATAACTTTTAAACTTGTTAATTTAAAATAAAAATTGTAATATTAATTGTTTATAATTTATTTATATAAGATTATAAATAAATTATTTTAATATAGTTTTTTTAAAAAATTTATTTGTAAACTAGATAAAGTTTGAAATATAACTATATATAATATTAAACATAATTATTTAAGCTTATCTAAAGTATATAAAACTGTTTTTTTATTCTCTAATTACATTGTAAATAATATAATATTAAATTTTCTTTTACCAATTATTTAAATATTAATTAAACTATTAAAAGAAATTTATTTAATTACATCTACATGTTTTGTAGCTTTAAGTTAAAATTTATTAATCTACTTATTAATATTTCTATTATTATTTGTTTATTATTATATTAATTTTGAGAGTTATATGTTTGGCATCAAATATAAGATATATTATATTATTTGCAATTCATATATGTTTTATTATTTATATTTCTTTTATTATAGGTTTTGTATACTAACTTTATATAAACAGACAGTTAAATTTATACAAACAGACAATCAAATTCATACAAACTGACAGTTAAATTCATACAAACTAACAGTCAAATTCATACAAATTAACAGTCAAATTTATACAAACTGACAGTTAAATTCATACAAATTGACAGTCAAATTTTTTTTTTTTTAATATTAAAATAAATATTTGCAACCTAGGATTTTATTGATAGTATATTCAACTAATAGTTGCATTACAACCACAGAAGGCATTCATGAAAAGAATGTACAACTAGCCACTTATACAACTTTAGTCATTGTTTAATTTAAGTAGTCTGCCTAAAGGTTCTACACTAGCTGCCATACCTGGAACCTGCTTGT